GACCCACAGGCCAAACCCAACAAGCTGCCAAAACTAAGAACCACTAACCACAAACTGTAAGACACTGTATAATACGTAAGAAATATACCAGATCTGTTTGAAAAAAAGAAAGAAAGAAGGAAACAACCATTTATCACAAGTATGACTTCTCAGGTTCACGAGGATCCGTTCTATCAGGTAGTGGTACTAGCTAGTACTAGTTACTACTTGACCAAACATCCTGGCAATGATCTTTCCCGAATTATCGTCGACTGGACTACTGAGGAAAGATAACTTATTCTTCATGATAACAAGATATTCACACACCTATCTGTTAAAAGCAAAGAGCGTATAAGGGACGAGAAACAGGTTCTTATTGCTATTTCCAGTATGATGCTAAGTGCTGACCTTACTAGTATGCGCAGTTTATTCCTCAACAATATTCTGTGTATTTGGGACTATTGTGCATTTGGACTTTTTCAAAAAACAAGTGTTATTTTAAATCGTATCTCTATTAGCCTGCTTAAGGGGGTCCTCACACCACAGCGATCACCAGTTCCGTATCGATGCAAATAATAATAGCGGTCACAAGTTTCGAGCGCAACCCTCGTGCATTCGTGCTGTAAGTTGCGTTCTGAACTCATGACTTAAACGAAATAAACGAAATAAAAAGATGGGTTAATTATATCGTTTAAACGAAATAGACGAACAAATTAATTCGTTTAAACGAAATAATAATTCGTTTAAACGAATTAATAATTCGTTTAAACGAAATAATAATTTATTTCGTTTGAAATAATTAATTCGTTTAAACGAAAGAATATATTATAACTATTTCGTTTAAACGAAATAATAATAAAAAGTGTTGAAAATTGCGCTTAAGGGGCTCCGTACAAACACAATAATATTTCGTTTAAACGAAATATGTGATATTATTTCGTTTAAACGAAATAATAATAAAAAGTGTTGAAAATTGCGCTTAAGGGGCTCCGTACAAGCACAATGTCTCGACATTGTTTAATATTTTGATTATAATCATTGTTTATCTATTTCAAAAAACATCAAACAATCAATTCAAAAGAATACAAAGTTCATCTGTTGAAAAGGTAGTAACCGATATTCTGAAAGAGTTGAGTCTGACTTACTTACGAAAATATTTACTGAAATTATTTCATATGCCTACATTTTTTCCGAGTGTGGAGAAGAGGTTGTAGCTTTAGACCCGTGTCTGGGTATAGCCAAGTTTGTTACAAAATAATCGAGAATGAATAAAACAAGAATGAATTATTTATCTCTGACGAAATGTAATATTTTTTATTGTGCTTAGTAAATTTCTAAAATATAACTCATTTTGTGTCTATTTGCTGATTTTTTTCAGACAAAGTTGATTTTAAATTCTGAAAAGATTATTCAAAACGATGAAAAGCTTAGGTGAAAATTTTTTATTATTTATAATAAGTGGATGATTGCGACGTAAAAGAAAAGCAAAGCCAACAGTGAAACGAACGAGCTAATCAGAAGCCCAAAGATGTTCTATGATTTATTTTGAATATCCACAAAAAAAAACCAACGAAAC